GGGAGGGAGGGGAAAATGAGGATTTTATGCCGGGGGCTTAAGTGATGAGGAATTGTTTTGAGAATGATGAGGGCAATTAAAAAAAAAGAAATACAATTGCTGAGGTCCATTGGATCTTTGCTGAAAACAGAGAATATGAGATTATGAGAAATGTGCATTATTGACTATGAAAATGCATTTGACTGCATGGATAAAAATAAACTGTGAATAGCCATGAGAAGAATGGGAATTCCAGGACATTTCATTTTACTCTGGTGGAGCAAAAATCAAGAGACAGTTGTATAGAATGAACAAGGGAATACTATATGGTTCAAATAAGGAAAGATGCTTGTATGAGTTGTATCCTACCACCATACTTATTCAATTTGTATACTGACCAAGTAATTAGAGAATCTGTCTTACATGAATAACCTGCAATATGTAGATAATACAACCTTACTTAATGCAAGTGAGGAGGAATTGAAGCTCTTGCTGAGGAAGCTCAAATATTGTAGCCTTCGTACAAATTGCAACTCAATATCAAGAAAACAAAAGTCCTCAACCAGACTAATAGCTAAACATCATGATAAGTTAAGAGGACATTCATATTGTCAAGGATTCATCTTGCTTTGATTCACAATCAATGTTCATGGAAGGATCAATCAAGAGATTAATCTTTAACATGTTGTGAAGCCGGGATGCTACTTTGAAGATTAAGTACACATGACCCAGGTCATGGTATTTTCAACAACCTCATATGCAGGTAAAACTGGGACATTGTATAGGATGACAAAAGTAATTGACAAGTTTGAATTTGAATTCCAATAAAGAATATTCAAAATATCATGGATTTACTAAAGAAAAGACAAATCTTCCTTGGATGAGGTGCAGCCAGAATGCTCCTTAGAGGCATTGATGGTGTGATTTCATCTCAAGTATATTGGTTGTGTTATCAGGGTAGATGATCATCATACTGGGTAAAGTTAAGGAGCAGCAAAAAGATGAAGTCCCTTGACAATAATAATGACACGGTGGTGGCAAAATAGGCTTAATTATATGACCAATTGTGAAGATGGTGGAGGACTGCACAGTACTTATTCTGTTATACACAGAGTTTCTAAGAGTCAGAACCAGTACAAAGGTACCAAAAACCATTAAATCCTCTTCTGAAGCCAGCTTTGGTTTCTGGCAGTCCCGTGAATGTACTGCGGCAACTGTTATTGAATGATCTCCAGAATTTTTAAATCAGATGGTCATGATATTCCTTGACAATTAATATGTACTGTTTTGTCACCTTTATTTGGTTTGGGCACAGATATAAATCTCTAGCCTTTGTTGACCAGATAGGTGTCTTCTGAATTACCTGGCATAGAGACGTGGGTAGATGTAGGGCCTCATCAATTCTGTGAAATGATTCAAATTGGTGTTCCAGCAATTCTGGAGCCTTGGTTTTTACTAATACCTTTAGTGTAGTATGGACGTCTTCCTTCAGTAAGACTGATGTTAATTAAACGCCATTTAAAAAAATAATTTTATGTTGGCGGATTCTTTTTTGACAGAATGGTCATGTATATTACTTGCACTTTTTATGCTCCTGAACTATTATTTATTAAGTGGTAAGATATACTAATTTTATTTAATCACAAAAATATTAAATCTCCCTTCAAGGAGATTAATAACACAGACTATATTCCTATTTGTGTTTAACATACCATTAAAACATTAAAATAGAAAGACAGGTGGAAAGCAATGCTTTAAACTTTTTATATAGTAAGCATACTATTACAAAACTTAATTATATGAGATATAGTATTTCTGATCATAAGATAGTGATATTTTATAAATTTTATAAGACATTATATTATTTGACCATCCAAATCTAATTATTTGTCTGACATCTTCTTTTTCTTCTTCTCAGTGTTTGGAAACAGACAAGTCATAATTTCTGCTATCAATTTTATGGTAGGTATCATACATATTGCCATGCTAATAATTTTTATATTATTACAATTATAAAACAAATGGTATTTGATAGTTTACTTTGGTGAAATATGATCTGTGTGTACAACCTATATGTTATGGTATAATATCAAGTAACTCTAATCAGTTTTAATAATCAAATTGATAGTGTTAAATTAATGTAATATTGCTCTAACCTCTGGAAAAATAGGGTCTTAATATATGCCTCAACATGTATGAGTCTTACAAATATTATGCTGAGTGAAATAAGTCCATCCCCCAAAATTCAAGTACTAGATCAAAATGAATTACTAGTTATTTGGATAGGTGCAAATGAGAGTGATGCAGGTATCCATTGTTTAGGCATCATTGTGATTCTGTTAAGGGTGAAGGAGGAAAAAATGGAAACAACTAGTAGTGACGATTACACAATATAATGAGCATAATTAATGTCTCTGAATTGTGCAAGTAAAAATGTCAGAAATAGCATGTATTTTGTGTCATATATGATTACTCCAATAGAAAATGGTCTCAGCATTAACACAATGCAATTAGAATTATTTAAATTAGAATAACTATTTGAATACAATGCTCCATGATATAACTTATTATACAAAAATTTACCACTTTGGTACTTAACCCCTACAGCAAATTTTCCCATTCTAACACTTAAACATTTAATAAGCACTTGGGTATAATAATTAGATTACTTAAGAAACAATAATGAAAAGAGTTTACTGAGTGAAATGAGATTCCAAATTGATTTCAATTCATTAGCTAATCCATAGTACTACCATTTTAACTTGCTTTGAGGATTGTATTATTTCTCAAACATTAATTATTTTATTAATCACATGCTTTTGCTATTCTTTTCATGTTTTCCATCTTCAGCGCCTTTGATAGAATGATTTAGCACAGTGGTGGAAGTTCAAAACTACCAGTCACTCCTTTAGAAAATGAGGAGGCTTCAAAGAAAAGAATACAGTGAGCCTGTCTTCTCTTGCAATGGTTTGCAGTCTCAGAATCCATATGTGACAGTTTTGTTCTCTTCTATAGGATTGCTATAAATCCGAATTGACTCAATAGCAGGCGATAGATTTGGTTTAAGGAATAAGTCACTCTTAACCTTTATTTACCCACCTGCAACCCACTGTCTCATACAACATATACATCAACTCATGCACTTTATAGAACGTTTCTTATAATCCTATTTTCCTTATCATTTCCATTTCTCTCTCATGATGTTACTGTAAGAAAGTAAATCTGTTTTTTATCTTTTCAGGATGTAGTTTTGCTCAAAGTAGCAACATTCTACTTGCTTGAAGAAATAATTCCAGATAAATGACATTGACTTTTTTTTCATTAGATTTTCTTCAATAAATGCAAGTTAGTTACATTACATTTAATCCCACAAATATGTATAAGTGTATTTTTTATAGAAAGTAATTCTGCAGTTCATTTATTTTGATGCCTTTACATATAACCCACATTTTACTAAGTCTAATGTTCTCTGCATATTTACTATTCAGTAAATATGAGCAAATGGGAGAATAGATTAACAGATAAATCAATTGATTTCCAAACCTTTGGCACTTATTTTAATATACTTTTATATTGATAACACATCCTCTCTCTTATTATCCTTGTCGTTGTGACCTCATACACTCCTTTTTCACAACTTTTTTATCATTCAGTTATTTAAAATTACTAAAACATCTCTCCTTGTACACGATAAATTTCATTTCTTCATATTTCCTAATATTAGGGCGTACCACCCAATAGAATGGAATATTTTTTCAAAGCTATGTATTTTTTCTTTTTTTTTTTAACAAAACAACCTTATGACCTTCAAGATACCCTCCATTACACTTAATACATTTATCGAATCCGCGATTCCATTCTTGGGAACAGTTTGCAAATTCATCTGTTTGGATGGCTGACAGCCCCTCCCTCGTTTTTGTTTCTTCCCCTCTCATATGTCGTCAAATCGCTGTCCTTTCATGTCCCTCTGCATTAGCGGAACAAAAGATACTCCCAAGGAGTCAAGTCAGGTGAGTCAGGTGTGTGGGGCAGGACAGACATGCTATTTTTTGCCAAAAACTGGCTCACTGAGATGGCTGCTTGGGCAGATGCATTGTCCTGGTGGCAAATACAGTCCCTCGTGTGTCACAAATCAGGCCTTTTACATCACACACTGTTACACAATCTTTGCAGAACCTCTAACGAGAAAGCTTGATTAACAATCTGACCACGTGGCATGAACTCCAAATGCACTACGAGTCAACTTTTTGTCTATTTGAGAAGTTGAGGGACGTCCAGAACAAGGTTATCATCGATCAACATTTCACCTTTTTGGAAAGGAGAAAATCATTCATACACTCCAGCTTTTCCCAAAGTGCTGTCTCTGTAAGCTTTGTTACACATCATCACAGTTTCTGTGCCATTATTCCCCAGCAGGAAACAAAATTTCACAGCCTCACGCTGTTCTTTTATATGAACCATCACAAGAAAACGAGGCTTGAGAAGAAGTACTTTCACACACACACACACACACACACACACACACACACACACACAAATTCACTGCGACCAGAGAGAACCCAGGGACACCATTGGGCGCACTAAGTCAGAGCTAGTTGCTCGATGCTCAGGTAGTGGGAAAAATGCTACTATGAAATCTCTGCCCAGAAAAGCTGCTTTCTGGGTTTTTTTGGTGTTTTTGTTTGGGCACTCCCTCTTGTAGTATAACTGTGGTAAATGATTCTACTATAAAAATTTAAATTTATAGACATTATAGTTTTTCTTAAAAACTGCAGCCCATAAATATTTTTGGCTTAATAATTTTATCTTTCCATCACAACATTAACTACAAGCTAGGCCAAATTTCTTTTTCTCTGTTCATTTTATAGATTTGCACAAAGTAGGAGCAGACTAATAAACGCAACAGTGAAAAAAATTGTTTCATTTAGAGTTTCGATGAATGTATTGTAAATATTGGACTTTTATGTTACCATACAGAATTATAATGTAAAATATATTTATTTGTTAATATGGAAAAATTAGAAATCTCAAAATTCAGTGGAATGTAATATATTTTTTTCCTTTTTTAATTTTTATTTTTAAATCATTTTATTAGGGGCTCATACAACTCTTATCACAATCGATACACACATTATTTGTGTAAAGCACATTTGTACATTCATTGCCCTCATCATTCTCAAAACATTTCCTCTCCACTTAAGGCCCTGGCATCAATTTTTCATCCTCTCTCCCCACTTCCCCCTCCCTCATGAGCCCTTGATAATTTATAAATTATTATTTTGTCATAACTTTCCCTGTCCGACATCTCCCTTCACCCATTTTTCTGTTTATACCTTAAAAAAGTACATCTTTTAAAACTATTGGAGCATTAACTTACTATATTTAAATTTTTACCAAATGCTATTTTATCTACCTTATGCAAAAGTTAATACTATTAAGACAAAGAAGAAGTAAAGCAAAGACAAGGCCTATCTTACTTGCAAATGAAAAATATTTTCATAATAAAATTCAATATTTGCAGAGCATTCGATTCTTCATTAGTCGAGTTATGTGCTCTGTCAACGGAAGAGCATTTAAGGTTTGCCTCACTTCTGTTGTCATGTACAGTCAGATTATCACCGGGTAAGAAGATCCTTAATTACAAGTCAGCTGATTCTGATTGTAGTTAATTCATGATTATGCATAAATCATGTATTTCGTAGATCTTATAGAAATAATTTTAAGTTAATTTCTGCTACTTTTGCTTTATTTCTGCTTTTATTCTCAGTTTCCTAATACACAAGGTAAGATATAGTGTAGGCACTATAATAATACATACACAATGTATTCCAAATTCAGATAATTTCTCACATAAAAATTAAATTTTAGTATATCAATCTTCAACTATGAAAAGTATTCTATTATATTAAATTCAGGATGGCTTTTAACAAAACAGTTTGCAAAAAAGGTGTTCATCTATTAAAATAGATATACATAAAAAGACAAAACAGAATCAAATGTAAACACATTTATGAATATATTAAATCATTTTTCCATAACTGTCATATGCATTTTCCTTCTCTGCTATCAAGTTATGAGGTTACATAACTTTAATTCATCATTTGTCCACCCTCCTAACCCTGAATGAAAGTACAAATTAAACGCAAACATCACATTCGCCAAAGGAATATACATATCTATATATCTATCTTTATATAATTATCAATGCTGCTTCCATTTCCCACTCTTCTTCCCAACTTTATTTTTACTCTCCAGAAAGAATTACGACTTGCTAATTCTTTGCAAGCAGCACTTCACCAATACAACAATTTATTTTTGACTTTGGAACTGACAACCCTTAAAAATGTAAGAAATAAGGGAAATAGTACATACTTTATGAGACATAGTTAGGAAAGTGTGGGAGAAAACATATTTCCCCGACTTTGGGCTTTGTGTCTTCTGTCTCACCATTGGTTATTCATTCATTTAAGTCTTTTTTTAGAATGCAAATATGCTTGAAGAAGTAATAAATTATACTCTTATCAAGCTTCCCACCTTCTCCTGTTACATTTAGCTGAAAGAACCTCAGGGTATAGAACAGATGATTTTGTATTAGGGAAGAGGAGGCAGGGAATAATATATTATAGTTTTTAATCAATGCAGGGAAGAGTAAGGCATTGTTGTCAAGAACACAAAGGCCAGAAGACTGCATGAGAATATTTGATATTTCAGGTTAAGATGGATGAGAGAAGAGGAGTGTGCCAAATTTATGCTTTTTAACTTTTTTTTTTAATCAGCAGTCTGCTTGGCGTTTTGTTTTTGTTTTTGTCTTTTGGTATTTTTCCTACTCCTTTACCTAATATTCAAAGGATTCTAAAATGTTTTGCAGTTAATTAATATTGGATACTTAAGTCTTGGACTGTTTGTGCTATCATTAATTAACATTTTAGTTTTCTCATAAAATCTCCTGAAGCATTTGCTAT